GTATTTCTTAAATGCTAAGACTCGAAAGTTGAAATTACTTCTTGATCCATGGGCTACAGAATGGATGTTGTGTCAGCAGGCATGAAAACAACATTTATCTCTGTGTACATCTCCATCAGAGCTCTTGGGTGACTAGGTGCATTGTCAATGAGCAGTAATATTTTGAAGGAAATCTTTTTTTTCTGAGCAGTAGGTTTCAACAATGGGCTTAAAATGTTCAGTAATCCATGTTTTAAACAGTTGCGCTGTAACCCAGGCTTTGATGAGGAAAGGCAGAGTAGATTTAGCATAATTTGTCAGGGCTATAGGATTTTCAGAATAGTGAATAAGCACTGGCTTCAACTTAAAAGTCACAAACTGCATTAGCCCCAAATAAGAGAGTCAGCCTGTCTTTTGAAGCCAGGTATTGACTTCTCCTCTCTAGCTATGAAAGATGGCATCTTATTCCAATAGAAAGCTGTTTGATCTACATGAAAAATCTGCTGTTTAGTGTAGGCACCTTCATCAGTAATCTTAGCTAGACTTTCTGGATAACTTGCTGCAGTTTCTACATCAGCACTTGCTGCTTCACCTGGTACTTTTATGTTACGGAGACCACGTCTTTCCTTAAACCTCATGAGCCAACCTCTGGCTAGCTTCCAACTTTTCTTCTGCAGCTTCTTCACCTCTCTCAGCCTTCATAGAATTGAAGAGCATTAGGTTCTTGCTCTGGATTAGGCTTTGCCTTAAGGGAATGTTGTGGCTGATTTGATCTATCCAGACCACTAAACTTTTTCTATGTCAGCGGTAAGGCTGTTTTCTTATCGTTCATGTGTTCACTGGAGTAGCACTTTTCATTTCCTTCAGGATCCTTTCCTTTGCATTTACAACCTGGCTAATCGTCTGGCCTAGCTTTTGGCCTATCTTGATTTTTGGTATGCCTTCCTCACGAAGCTTAATCATTTCTAGCTTTTGATTTAAAGCGACATGTACAAGTGTTCTTTTTACTTGAACACTTAAATGCCATTGTACGATTATTAATTGGCCTTATTTCAATATTGTTTTGACTCAGATGAATAGGGAAGCCTGAAGAGAGGGCAGGGTGTTGGTGGAACAGCCAGTCGGGGGAGTAGTCAGAAAACACACATTTATCAATTAAGTTTGCATCTTATATGGGCATGGTTCGTAGTCTTCCAAAACAATTACAATAGTAACATCACAGATCACCATGACAGATAAATAATAATGAAAAAGTTTGAAATGCTGTGAAAATTACCAAAATGTGACACAGAGGTACAGAGTGAGCACATGCTATTGGAAAGATGGTGTTGATAGACTTGCTCAAAGCAGGGTTGCCCCAGACCTTCAATTTGTCAAACAAACAAAAAACACAATAAAGCAAAGCCCAATAAAACGAGGCATGCCGGTACTCAGATTTGTCACAGTTGTGCTATTTTACCATTTCCTAAAAGCTTAAATTGTTATATTTCTGTGTACTGTAGCTAAGCTAAATATAATTTTAACACCATGTGTCTGTGTTTTCTAATCATTCTTTCATATTGTTTTATTAAAATCCTGTTTGTTAGAAATGCAGTTAAATCCTACATTCTTCATTTTACAGTTTCTAGACCCAAACCATTGTCGGCAGTTCCAAAGCGAGCTGTAAGAGGAACTGTATTATCAAGATCCGCTTTCATCTATAATGTGTTATCTAAAATTGGAGAAGTTTGGGCAAACAATGAGCCTAACAATAGCATCTCACTTTATAATAGGTATGTTTTTCTTACACCTTTTTTGGTCATTCTGCTTACTAATTTTCCTTGGATATCAGCAGCATTTATCAACAATTGCCTTAGTTTATTAGTGTATGTAAAAAGGAAACACACTTTTTTCTCTTTTTGGAGACAGGGTCTTGGTCTGTTGCCCAAGCTAAAGTGCAGTGGTGTGACAACACCTCACTTCGACCTCAAACTCCTGGCCTCAAGCGATCCTCCTGCTTCAGCCTCTTACAGTGCTAGGATTACAGACGTGAGCCACCACGCCGCTGGGCCTAAAAATTCTTTATTGCTAAAGAATGCTAACAATCATTTGAGCCTTCAGTGATTCATAATCTTCTTCTTGGTGGGGGGTCTTGCCTCAGTGTTGACGGCTGCTGACTGTTACTGAAGGTTGTAGTAGCCATGGCTATTAATAATGAAGTTTGCCACGTTAACTCTTCATTTCGTGAAAGATTTCTCTGTACCATGTACAACTTCTTTCAAAATTGGAGTCAGTCCTCTCAGACTCTGTTGCTGCTTTATCAACCATGTTTATGTAATACTCTAAATCCTTTTTGTCATTTCAATAATGTACATAACATCTTCACCAGGAGTAGACTGCATCTCAAAAAACCACTTTCTTTGTTCATCCGTAAGTAGCAACTTCTTATCCGTTCAAGTTTGCAGTAATTCAGTCACATTTTCAGGCTCCACTTCTATATTTCCACCACAT